TGGCTATTGAAGTGATTATTATATCCCGTTGCTCGAGAAGCAGGGACGTGGCGGAGAATTCTCGTACTAACTGTATGAACTTTATCGATGTTTACGTAAAGTGGGGTAAATCGTAACTAGTATTGCATTAGAGCATCTCAACCTGCCGCCGTTATGAGCAAGGCGAGTATTTCGAAAAGATCCAACGATAATGCGCAAAGTACTGAAGCTACATGTACACTAGCCTAGTCTTCGTGCTGTGCCTTGAGCAGTTTCTTCTTCATGGCGTGGAAACGCAGCAGCATCCTGAAACAGAAACAACATTAGTTAATCCAGCCATTAATCCCTACATAATTCGTCGAAAACGCACCAGTAGATGGTGAAAGTAAGGGCACTGATCCACCAGTTGCGCTCAGACCGCCAGCGCGACGCCTTCTTCTGCAGATCCGCTGAGTAGTGCACTTCAAGATGCGGGTCACTGGGCAGTGAGTAGCGCTTCTGCAGGTCGTAGGTCTGCGCCACGAGCACCACAAAAGATATGAACGTGATGACGGAGAAGACGCTGAGTGTGCCGATACGGATGTTGAATACGAAGTCGCCGAACTTGACGATGCCGCGGTTAAGCATGAGTCCCGGGAACGGGATGGTCATCAAGAGAAGACTGTCATACAGTTAAAGAGCATATTAATATTTTGGTAACGACACAACGGATTTAGACGCGAGTCGCACGTACAGAACCACCGCGGGCGGCAGCAACACGTAGGTGAAGGACGACCACATGGACGCCATGGTGAACGCAGGAGAGGCTCGAGTACGGAGGCTACGGGCTCAAGCGCTGTCGTGGCTTCTTGGGAAATGACAACGGAGGATCCCTGTGACTCAGTATGCAAATAGAGAGGTTTATGCCGAACAGAGAGTCAAACCAACATTCCTGGAAAATCCACTTCAAGTTGCCTTTTTGCCTGTACTCGCCGCTGCGAATGTTCTCCTGGTCTCCTGGTTACCGTGCGTAGTAATAGCCATACTTTGTGAGCTCGGTCGGTTGAAATGTTGGATTGTTGTCGTGCTGGAATGAATCATCGACGGTTGACGCGTTGCTAGTCAAATTGTTGTATGGGACGAGGATGTAGCCGTTGGTAGTCAAGTTTGACAAACAGAAGCGTATCTGAGAGTTGGTAGGGATGGAAATCGGTGGCGTGGATACTGCGCATGACGTGCAGCGCCTGGAGCGGCTCTCTTACGTGGGCTCCGCTGTTTCAAGTTGTGACGGCGAGGACAAACCCGTTGGTAACACTCCTTTGAGGAAGCTCGAGGTCGATGAAGAAGAAGGATTGCCGCTCCGGTCCGGCGACGTTCCGAACTTGTACTATTGGCGCCACATTGGTCTGCTGATGCAGTATGCAGCTGTGGGTTTGCTGTACGGCGGGCTGCCACGGACGGTGTATCCATTCCTGAACAATTTTTTGCATTTGAACGGCTACCAGACGCTATCGGCTCGTGTACTGCTATCCCTGCCATGGTCGTTCAAGGTGATGATTGGAATTGTGTCCGACTGTTTCCCCATTTTCCGCTCTCGTCGCCGTGCATACATGGTCATAGGGTGGATCATTTGCTCGAGTATGCTGCTCATTCTCGTCTTCGTAAAGCAGGAACCTCCGTACTATATGGACTCGACACTCCGAGGCAAAGACCTCTCGAAGATGTCTGCTTCTGAACTACGAGGTCGAGTGAATTTTCAGGCACCAGATTCGGGTTCCATTTACATTGTGCTAATGATGCTAGCAAGCCTCGGATATATGATCGCCGACGTGGCATCCGACGGACTTGTGGTGGAATTTGCGCAACGTGAGCCTGAAAGCATTCGAGGCAACATCCAATCGACTGTGTATCTTGTGCGTAGTGTTTTGATGATTCTGGCTGCCCTGCTGGTCGGTTTTGGTTTGAATGGCGACGACTACGGAGGATCGTTTTCGTGGTCACTATCAATGAGTCAATTAATGCTGATCTTCTCGCTGTTGAGTCTAGTGGCAATACCAGCTGCGATATGGTTTGTGCAGGAACCCGAACTTGCAGATCA